GGATAGCCCTTGAGGACTTATTGTATTTCCGTAGGACAGGTCATGAGGACTTATGGATACCCGTCATAGGATAGGCCTTAAGGACTTGTGGATATTCTATAGGATAGGTGATCATGACTTATGAGTACACTCATAGGATTTTCCTAGAGCACTGATGGGTAATCCATAATATAGGCTTTGAGGATTTATGTGTACCTCCATAGGATATGTCTTGTGGAGTTATGGGTACCCCATATGATAGGCGATGATAACTTATGAATACTCTCATAGGATAGGCATTGAGGACTTATGGCACTTCCATAGAATTCGTCATTAGAACTTATGGTTTCCTATAGGATGCATCGTTTTCCCCAGGATTCCCATCGTGCTGCTTGGGTTTTAAGGATTCCCGTTGTGCTTATAGGGATGTGGAATCTTGTGAATTCATCTCCTAGTCGAGGATCCCCTTACGAATCCCCAGGGAGTCCGCCAGAAAAATCTCCGGGGACTCACGACAGGAAGACCCCGGGGATTTACGAGGTAGTCAAGAACTCCCCGGGGATTTACGTGGGAGTCCCTGGGGATTTACTAAGGAGTTCCTGGGGATTTGTTAGGGACTCCCCAGAAATATACCATGAGACTTACGACGACTGTAAACGATCGTACCAACGTTTTTATCATAATATCCACCCCTAATGAAATCTCATTATAAAGTCCCCTCGAAGTCCCCAGGGAATCATGACAGGAACTCCCCCAGGGACCGAGGGGGAGTGGGGGACTCCCCAGGGATCCATTTGGGGACTCTCGACTAGGGACCTTTTCCCCTATGTGTAGCAGCCTTTAAAACTGGTTATCTATGTTCGACGCACTTGAAAATATGATCAGAATATATTGTTGAAGACTACTTTAGATTTTGGTTTTTTGGGATTTTTTGGGATTTTTTGGATTTTTTCGGATTTAAAATCCAAAAAAATCCGCTTTTTTCCCCTTGGATTAAAGTCCACTCCAGGATTAGTTTAAGAGCTATCCGTTATCTTTCTTTTACACTCACTGCAATACATAGGGATAAATATCTTTCACCATCGACATATATAGACGATAGATAAGAATTCATAAGTCGTAAAATACAGTGATCAATTCGATGATTTACAATACAATTAGCTTTATCGTGTTTCACATTTTAATCCCACAGGGATTGCGCTCACAGCTTTTGTTATAGAGTTTAGAGTTTGTAATAGGCGTAAAAAAAGAATTTTCTTTACGATAGAATGAGCTGAGAAATTTGCAGTTACTCAGTAACTGTAAAGCTAACGGAAATCTTCCTCTACGAATCGTATTGCTACACTATGACTCAATCAGATTCAAACTGAAGAATCTGATCATTTTCCGATGCCAGCATCTCATTTAAATGGAACCTAGTGGGACAACAATTGCAAATTCAATCAAATCGAAATTCCAATCTAAACTTCGTTTTGACTAGATTTGGTCTTGATAAAATTAATATAGAATTATTAATTGATGTATATATGTTCACTATTACAAGTTCTAAAAAAATCAGTCCAGTCAAACCAAAATCTAACGCAAGTCAAGTTCAACCAAATCTAACCTATGTAAAAAGAATAAGGAAAAAATCAGATTAAAATCGATTAGAATCATAGACTTTTAATCGATTTTTAATCGTTTTTTATCCGATTTCAATCACAAATACCAGAAAAAATGAAAATTTCATTGATTATTACGATTGATTTGGATTATAAACGATTAAAGCTCAATGAAAAAAAGTCGATTACAATTGATTCATATCGATGAAAATAGACTGAAAATTTGTTCATTTATCACGAAGAAAAAGCAATTAAAATCACTTTTTTCCAGTAAGTTTTAACCGATTATAATCGAAATTAATCGTAATAATCAATGAAGTTTTGATTTTTTCAGTTATTTTTGCTTAAAATCGGCTAAAAGACAATTGATAGTCGATTTCTAATCATTGTTTAATCGATTTTAATCTGATTTTAGTCCTAATATTTTTACATGGGAATTGAGTTTGAGTGGAACTGGAATTGGCGCATCTCTAATCCGGCTGCAACCTAGTCGGAACCGATCTGATCCAACTATCGGATTGATTTTTCTGAGCGTAGCTTAATTCTGCCAAAACTCTAAGTGAGCTTACTTTGCTTCTCTCTTGCTAGCAGTTTATGATGAGTGAATGTGATTTCAAGGTCTATATGCAATCAATCGTTCTTTTGCGCATGTTGGTTTTGTGAACAACGTTTGCCATGGTAAGTCATTAGTGTAAACAATATAACTTTCCTTTCTGTTTATGTTTCTTCCTTTCTTTTGCAAATATTACCAGAAAAAGTAAAAGAGAGAAGTCCTTGCAGCTTCAGACAAGAAAAAAACGAAAAAGGGACGATGAAAAACAGTCTACGGTATCGGTGCATAGAAATATTCTATGCGCTCCCACACAGATTCTTATGGTGATTTCTCTCACTCTCAGTCTTTTCTCATTTCATTTTCCTTCCTTGTTTTCTTTATGCGTCATCGTCTAGCATCGGATAAAATGTTCTGGATCGTTTCTTTTCAAACTCTGTTATTGTCTGTCGTTTACGTCGTCATTTATTCTATCTTTTCCCTCTTACATTAGCAAGTGAACGATGATATCTTAATAGAAATGCGGTGCAAAATAAAACATGTGTTCAATATCTATCGAATACAGCACAAAATACAATACTATCAGCACTTTGACCATATTTCCGTCAAGTCTCACGAATTCACGTGATCTGGTTATATAGATTTTCTTGTAATGACTGCATAAAAATGCGCTGCTGTTTAATCTCTCAAAAAAAACTCACCATTCTTTGACCCCTGAGGGTGTGGGTATGGGTGTGGGTGTGGCTGTGGCTGTGGGTGTGGGGGTGTGGGTGGGTGTGGGTGTGGGTGTGGGTGTGGGTGTGGGGTGTGGGGTGTGGGTATCAGTCTTTCCTTTATTCATATCCATATCCACATCCACACTCACACCCCACATCCTTGTTGTATCTTATGGTAGAAATTCGGTAGAAATGTACTCTGATGATGAGAGTGTCTTCATTACAGTCGGATTATTTTTTATTGAATGATAAAATTTAAAATGATAAGTATTCGAAATAATAGAGAATTCTGGTGCTGTGATAATATGGAACTAGTTCTGTAAATATATGCCATTTCAAGGGCAATATCTTTAAATAACTGAAAGCATTTTTTTGTCAGAGTTATATAACCGAGACCTTATACTTTTTATGTACTATTACAGAAAAAAAAGAGAAGAGATGTCGTTCGATCCATTATGCTATAATTTTCAGATCTTTGATCGAATTCTCGTTTTTATCTTCATTGAAAATAAATATCTCTTCAGATTCGAAATATTTTTATATGCCGTATATGGAATAGTATTCACATCAATTGAGTAAAATTGTCGGTCCTTTTAGAGACTACAACATATGCGCCAAAAGCCTCGTTTACAACGAAGACAGTTGCATTGCATTTTACATTTTAATACAATAGAGATTCAGCTGAAAGCTCTTTTTATTGCCTTGTTCTCAAAGAAGTTGGTGCACACCTCTGGAATTACGAAAGATGTTGTAAAAACACATTTTTTTAGAAGATTTTGAACTAGGCTTCTCGAACTACAGAGAAAGTGTCGAATCGAGAAACAACTAGGCTAGTGAGGAATAGCAACTTTTGAATGACAAAATTGTTTATATAGTCTTTCGAGAATATCTCCGCTATTTCTTGATCAAGTCGACTTGTTTTTATTATCAAAATAACCAGTGCAAAAAGTTCTACCAATTATAAACGTTTACGATGGCTTGGAGATTGTCATTATAATGATGAGGAGATCCTGACCGAACCAGGATGTGGGTATGGGTGTGGTTATTGTGGTTTTTTCAGTCAAATAAAATTTAACATTATTGAACAATGTTTAATTCATTTAATTCTTCGATTGAAAATTCGTAATGATGTGCACAAAAAAGACAAATGGGTGTGGGTGTGGGACTTTTAACCCTAGTAACATAAACACCTGCATCTATATACCAACCACACCTATGCACACCCACACCAACCCTTAATCATATTTTTGGTATGTTTGGATCGATCTTTCTGCTTTTGTAATTTCATTACATAAAACGAATCCCATATCTTGTTTCTCTATTGACCCTGTGACGATTGATGCGCTTTTATCCTTCTTTCGTAATTTCACCACGCAGAGCGAATGACGAATTTTCTTTGTAGTTGTGCAATACAAGCTGTATTACTCGCGCGGGCTTCACTTTCCTCGTCATATTTTTAACACTCGTTTACTGTTTTTTTTTTTAAAGTTTCTTTAACATCGTATTTCATAGGTAAATATTCGTCTAGATTATTGATAAGATGGACTCTACTACCCAATTTCAACCTCTAACAGTACCAAGAGATTCTGCTGGTTTCGTAAAGTGCTTCACATTGTCCAGCTACGACTGTCCAGAAGCCAGGAAAGCTTGTGCATTTTTTGAGGAATATGGTCTTGTGGTCATTTCAAATGTGTTCACTGCAGAGCAATGTACAAACACCATCTCAGACATTTGGAACGTAATCGAATCCTTGGTAGGACAATCTGTGAGAGACAACGAGCAATTTTGGACTCGAGAGTATGTTTCAATTAATTTTACAGATCCTTTTTCTATTTCTAATAGCCTTTTAACTTTCTGTGTCCCATTAGACTTTGGAATAAAACAGGTTTTCCAAGAGAGGGCATTATAGGTAGTACCAGTCTCTGGATACGCCAATCTTACTTAATCGACAAATTCCGGCTCTGCATACGACTTTTGCAGCCATCCTTGAAACGGAAAATCTGCTAGTAAACCAAGATCGTTATGGAATGTTTCGGCCCACAAAGGAGCATCCCGAACGAACAACCATGACGAATTTACACTTGGACATGAATCCATGGGCTTATATTGAAGGCTTGTTCTGATCTATTCCTATAAGTTCAACGAATTTCTCTCATGCCTGATTCAGATAATGATAACTCATATCAAATGGAAGTTCTGACAAAGCTTCGCTATAAATCTAATGTAGACTGGATCACAGAGAATAATGAACCCGGTTGCGCCAAAATCGGCGAGCTAGACGTACAGGGTTTGGTCAACCTTGCTGATAATCTTGAAGAAGACGGTGGCTTCTGGTTAGTTCCTAGCTTCCATAAGTACTTGGAACAATGAGCTGCTAACTACAAAGATCTCATCAATGTATATGGAGGCTGCACTCAATTCATTCTTCTGAAAAGAGATTTCATTCCAGATTTGTATAACGCTGCTTGCCACATTTCCACTCGTGCTGGCTCAACCATTCTGTGGGATAAGCGCACAGTGCATGGATCACGAGCGAATTTTAGTCTTCGCCCTCGTTATGCTCAATTCTTCAAGATGTTTCCAGCGGAGCATTCAGCTATGACACCACAAAGGGTCGAGAAGCGGCGCAATACAATCCTAGCAAAACTCCAAGCTGTAAATATTGATCTAGATACTGATCTGACTCCTTTGGGAAAGAGACTTTTTGGACTTGAAGTTTAATTTCAGTATACTAAGACGACAAACAATGTAAAAGCTGATTTCCTATATTTTTGAGAAGATTTTCATTTTCTATATTCAATCAAGACGAAAATATCGATTGTTTCATTAATTTATTTGAAAATCGTATGAAGAGTTTGCACAATACGAAAGGATAAGCAAAAATGTGTAAAGAGCAGATTAAGAAAAAGAAGATAACTGCCAGTCATCATCTTGAAGTTTTCTTCGAATATTTTTAGTTCGTATGAAAGTGTAAAAATGTTAGAGAACCTTACTAGACGGTCTGTGAGCGAACAAAAATGAACTTTTTATGAGGATTTGGCATTTGTATTAGGTGTGGGACAGAAGACAAGCACACCCTAACTGATCTAAGTGATTCATCATATGATGTTAGTTGTTTTCTCAGCTCTAATATACAAATCGCATCACTTTAAAATCTATCTATCAACGTCTCAGTGGACAAGCAAAGCATGCTACTAATTAGAAAAAGTAAATGAATTCCTGATAGCGAAAAAACAACTATATGACAATCAATGATCAACAGACTAAAAAAGAATTCAGTGCTAACTCTCAGCTGTCTTCGAACTAGGGTGTGGGTGTGGGTGTTGGCTAACAGAAGAACCACACCCACACCCACACCACCCACAGCCACAGCCACACTCCACACCCACCCACACCCACACCCACATCCCACGCTGCGAGGCATTTATTATAATACATTTGAGACGTAATTGGAGTTAGCATCCAATTCGAGTAGGGTGTGGCTGTGGGTGGTGTGGGTGTGGTTCTTCTGTTAGCCAACACCCACATCCACACCCACACCCTCTAGTGATTCCTACACTCAGACATTCACACTCACACCCCGCACACCCACCCACATCCACACCCACACACCCACACCCATACCCACATCCACACCCACACCCCACACCCACACCCACACCCACATCCACATCCACACCCAATTTCACCTATTTTTTCATTGGTCTTGTATTAAATTTCAAATAAACCGATTGAGTTTTGATATAAAAACTATTTTCTTTTTATAGAACGTAAAATGATCTTACCTCACTCAAGAATATTTCTAAAATATTATTCTTCTATCATCATCTTAGATTAGATCTATTCATTTCAAACAAAAATAGACATATATATTTTGTCAAGTCATTTTTATAGAAATAAGGTTTAATATTTCTTTATTTTAACAAAACTTTTGCAAAAGAAAAAAATCTTTACAATTCTTTTTCATGACAGAAACAATACTGAAAACAATTCGATGATACTGAACAATATCCTGATGCATGTCCTGCTCTAACACATAATTGATTGCATTGAACATTATCTTGATGTGTTACTTCATTTGCATTACGAACTTGAGTACATTTTGAACGTTCATTATGTAAACATGTATCAGCACATACACTCGATTTTTGTATAATTAATAAGAAAGTAAAACAAAGAATTAAAAAGAGAATCAACCGATTCATTATTTTACAGATTATATATATAGATACCTTAGAAAAGAAACCGAATGCTTTTTGTTACTCACTATAGATTATAACTTTTATCAAATTCAAACAACCTTTATATATACGTTCGTTATCACCTTCAAAATTTATCACATGGCCTCCGGAATAAATAGTCATAAAAAATCAAAACGAAACTACGCACATTCGCATATCTATTATAGAACAAAAAATATATATATACGAAAAGAACGAATTCAAAATAAATATGGCTAAGTTTACAAATTGAGAAATAAAATCAAAACTTACTTTTTTTTCCATTGATTCAAATAAAGGATTGACTCCAGAATGGGTGTGGGTGTTTGGGATGTGGGTTTGGTATTATTTTATAACTACAACCACACCCGCACCCTCGTTTATCAAAACCACGTTTAATATCATTTCGTTATGAATTTGAAAGTTCAATTGAAAAGGATCTCGATACACTTTTTGCTAAAGAAGGAGAATTATTTTCTTCAATTTTATTAACTGATGTGAAATCTATGTTAACGAATCATGGAACAAAATTAAAATCTATTTCACAAGATAAAACCGATATCAATGATTATTCCATATAGTTCTCATTAACTTTTCGATAAGAACATCGTCTATTAGCTATTTCATGTGTATGTAAAATTGAAATTTCAGTCAATATACAAATAAAAAATACCATTACTTGAACATCAGATAAGAATTGTTGGTTTTGATGAAAAACTTTTGGTCTTACAATCATTAAGATTACCAAAACGTTCAATAGTACGTGAACATGATGAAAATGATTATCGAATTTTAGTTAAAGGTGAAGAAGAGATTCGACCAGATCAACGTATTGAAGCATTATTTTCAATAACGAATGATCTTTATCATGATGATGCATATTGCCATCAATATAATTCGGCACAAATGTCCATTCGAACTTATAAGGGTTGAGAATATATATCTTAATTTTGGGATTATTTTGTTTCTTTAAAGTTATTTCAATGTCAACAAAATTAGGTATAGTTAAATGGCTTGATAATACTCGACCATTGAAAGAATTAATTGAAGAAAGTTATACAACTTCTGAACGTGATATTATCACTCAAGGTCAACATTCAAGAAAACTTTATCAGGAATATGTTATCAATGATTTTCAAAAATCTAAACCAACTGCTAAATCAACAAGCAATACGATGATGTATGCAGAAGTATTTGTTAGTTTAACCAACATACAAGTCGAAGAAGACTTTAAGAAAATTCAATCAGTTGTTCCAAGTGATTTACTTCGTTGTGCTTATTATAAAATTGCTAATTGCATGAAGGATTTTATACACTTCGAAGACAACTTATTACAAGTTATGCTGTTTCATGTACAAGTCATTACATACTTGGAACTGGAGATCGAAATCCAATGAAGTATGTTGAATATAGAGAATGCATTGTAGACAATTCTTTGCTCATTTAGTTTTCTGATCAATACATTATTTGGGCAAGTTATTGGCATTGATTTTGGTTCAGCATTCACTACAGCAACGATTGCAAGATTAAATTTTGAGAAATTCCAAACCAAGATCATTTTATTTCCTAGAATTTACCATTACCTGAACTTATTCCTATTTGTTTAACTCGACAAATTGTTCAATTAATGTCACCCATTGGTACCGCTGGTCTTTTTCATGTAACAATGATTTATACTATGAATGCATTACAAGAAAATTCTGATTTATTACTTAGTACAATGGATGTATTTATTAAAGAACCATTATTGGAATGGTTAGTAACATTTATTAATCTCTATTATTATATCGAAGAGAAAAAGAATATTATTCTAGTAACATGAACTTAAAACAAGTAAACAGATATCACAAAGTGGTATGTTTAATAAATATAAAAAAGATCAGAAGTGGCTGAATTATACGAGTGCAAAACTCACGAAGAATTCTAGGAACTCTTAGAACTCTAGGAGGGTGTTGGTGCGGATGTGGGGTGTGGCTGTGGGTGTCAATACAGCTCATCTCTTGACCCACATCCCCATCCAAACCCCCACACCCAGCCACATCAGCATCCCATTTTCTCTTTCAGTTAACAAGATATTATTCTAATAATATCGTCATAGAATGAATTCATAAGATATAAAGTTTCTTTGTTGTCTTTGTGTTTAATAAAATATGGGATTTTCTATTTATCTCAATGTATCGTACTATTGAATAATGAACGGTTCTATTCGTGTTGATATAGAAAAGTCTTTAAAATTATTCTATAAGAACGATGAAAAACCATATTTTATTATTAATCTCGAGACTAAGATAACATGTCTTAATAAAGAATATTGAATAGCTTGAAATAATCTTATCTTTACAAAAATAATAAACAAAAAATGGTCACGTATACTCTCATACCTGCTTATCTTACTGGGGTGTGCGTGGGTGTGGGATGTCGGTGTGGGTGAGTGTATGAGTCTGGTTGCATTTTGTGTAAATTCACACCCAGACCCACCCCACTCACACCCACACCGACATCCACACCCAAACCCACCCCACTCACACCCACATCCACACCCACACCCACACCCTTTAATAACATTATTTTCTTTCTAAGTATTAAAAATCTTTTATTTCATATGGCTTTTGTTTCAATATTGATGTTTCGACTTGTATCAATATGATTTATATGTAAGTGGTTTGTTTGTGAAATCTTTAGAAGTTATTCCTAGTCATAAATAATTAGGTTTCTATTTTATTTTATTTTGTCTAATTATGAATCCTGTAGTCTTTTGCTTTTGCTTATATATGCGTATAATTTTTTCAATGTAACATATTTATGTGCTGATTCATGTGTGTCTATTACTATTTCTTTTTGTTTGCTACTCTATTCTATCATCTACAAAAGTCGGCATTTCTATGAATGATTTGATTCAACAAGATGATTCATTATGTGAACAGTCAATGAATTAGATGATGTTGCGGAAAGATATGAAGAAGTTGCTAAATTAAACATATTTGGTCAATAAAATTCTGAAAATATCAAATACTTGGTTGAATACGTTCCTAACTGTATACAATGAAGCTATTTCTCAATTTTCTGATGTCAGTGTCCTACAATTTCGTACATTAAAATTTCTTGAACTATTTATGATCAAACTACAGTGATAAAAAATATCATCATTCAATTAATATATTTATCTTGATTGATTGTCGCAGTATGATCATTCTATGTAATATAATTATGAACTTATTTCTAATCCTAACAAGTTAACCGTATGTTGTATTATTGTATATTCAAATCTGACATTTGGTTCAGTATTCAAATAGGATTAGATTATCATCATACATTGAGCATGTTGTCATCTATGTTCAAGTCAATAGAGATCGATAATTTATCTTTTTCATGTAAAATCCTTAAGCGTTCATCTCTATTTGTCATTAGAATTATGATTATGAAACAGAAATTATTAATTAGTTTCAATCAAATCGATTCATTATCGAATAAAAATTATCTCTTTCTTCTATTTCTGTAACATTATCAATTCGTATAATGATCAAATGATTATCTTTCATATCGTTTTCTACGATAATAATTCAAACATCAAATTGGTATGCAATAACAATTATATCACTTCATTATCGTCAACAATGATGATCGAACAATCCTTTATTATTTTCATAGGAATGAAAGACTTTTTAAGTGAAATTTTTCAATTGATAATCATAATTAAAATATAGTTTAGTTTTTCATATACAATCTTTTGTTAGTCTTTTAATATTCACGGATAAAGAGTTTACGCTATTATTTATTGCGAATGACCATTATAACATTGAACAAGTCTATTTTATCAAAAACATAAATGTCAGACCGTTCAATAGTCCTTTATACGACGATGAGAGAAATTTTCGGATAAAGAAAATCTCAATATTAGAACATTCTGTCAGTGAAGTAGGAAAATTTCATTTAAAACTGCAAAATGGTCAATTACATTCTGAAAAATAAAGATGTTGCACATCTACTATGATTTATGAGTCATTTGGCTGTGGGCATTGGTGTGGAGGGTGGTTGTAATGAGAGTGTGCATACGTTTCTGTAAGCATGAGGATACAGGCATATGATGATATGGAAAACCATCAACCCACATCCATACCCACACCATTCTACTCTATCTGTCATAATCACCTTGAAGACTCTATTGCTCTCCAAACCATATGCCGAAACTGCTGCAACTCTTTCTATAAAGCACTCTATGAATTCTTTGATGTATCCCACGTTTTAAGCCAATGGAAGTCCTTTCAACGAAATAGTTGTGTGCGTGTGTGTTGTCACCCAACTTGAACCTAGTGATTCCTACACTCAGACATTCACACTCACACCCCACACACCCACCCACATCCACACCCACACACCCACACCCACCCACACTCATACAAACACCCCACACCCACACCCAGTGCCATTGCGTTCTATCAAAAAGCAATTGAAGTGCATTAAAAAAATGACTCTTCAAATCATCCTGTACAAATATCAGAATTTCGAGAATCGAATGACTTCGTTCTTTTGTCATTCAATCTATCGAACGTGAGTAAGGCAAAAGAAATAAAGAAAACAATCATAACGCAGATAACGTTATTGTGTAATTTTACCGTTTGTGACGAAATTCGTTGTTCTATATATTCCCGTGTGTCCTATAAATTTCGCCACATCTCTGTCATCTCACAACCATGGCACTCACACGTCTAACAAAAGAACTCAACGACATCACTACAGATACACCGCCATACTGTAGGGCTGCTCCCATTAACAACGACGACATATTCCATTGGGAAGCAACAATTATGGGACCAATTGACACTCCTTTTCAAGGTGGTACCTTCCTTCTCGATATCACATTTCCTCAGAACTACCCTTTCAAACCTCCGAACATCAAATTCACAACAAAAATGTTTCATCCTAATATTCATTCAGATGGTAGCATTTGCATGGATCGACTTCAGCATAAATGGAGACCTTGCTTGACGATCTCAAAGACACTGATAAGTATTTGCTCTATCCTCGACAATCCTCTTGCAGAAGAAGGCGAACCAAGTGCAAATCCAGAAGCTGCTCTCTTGTATAGAGAAGATCGTGGAAAGTACAATTCCATGGTTCATCAATATATTCAGAAGTATGCGATGTGAAGCGTCCTTTTTTTATATGTGGAGCTTGAATATTTATCATGAATAAAAAGTGTCCTTGCTGCTACTTGTTCAGTATGAAAGAGAAAGGAGAAAGCATTTACTCTAAATTCTCGTCTCATTATTGTGGGGGCCAAATGTTTATTGAATGATATTAATTATATTTTTCCGAGGGATATGCACTTTGAGTTTCAAAAAACTTGTTTTCATTTTTTCTTTTCTAGCTGTATTCCTGTTGGATTAATTAATCTTGATTCCGATAGAATCCAAGAAGAATTTGACTATCGGATTACTCGTTCTGGACATGTTCTGACCCAGTGTCGAACATTGCTGTCGGCATTAGGTTTAAGTGTAACTGAATTCAATGCGATTCGGTCTAATAATCTTCACTTTTTAGATGGACAGAATTTTCTGCTATGATCCGTGGTTTAGAACAATGGGACGATCAAATTTTTACTTTTTGAATTGCGCTCTTCGCAAAGAGTGGAATGAGATTCAATAAAAGTATTTTATGCTGTTGCTGGTCTTCGAAAATAGATTGGCAAATTTCAATCGGTATTTTTCAGTTCAAAGGTGTACTGAACTAAAGAATAGTTTTCAGTTTGTGAGAATGATATCTTTTCGTGAACTTTTTGAGCAAAAATACGCATATTAGAAAGACATTTAGATTAATTATTGCATTTACGCTGCTATTTAAATATCCAGCCGGATCCTCTTCTCCGGTTCTGCACATTTGTAGTTCGACGGTGCTGATAATATCTCTACCAAAAGCAGAACATTTGATCGTCTGTGAAGAGAAACATTGCATCCTTACACTAACATCAACATTCTTTGTATATTATCTAAAAGTGAGATAAGCAAAATGTAATATAACGTTATTTTCAAGACCGAGTTGCACACGTTTTCGAGATTAGTCTTTCTTAAAATAATTTGAAGGCACATAGTTGGACAATAATAGTTAAAATAGGATAGCTCTCTTGTATGTTTATCCAACTTTTCGAGCTCCACTACCGAACAACTGAGAATTGTTCATGTTGTGAGCCGTTAATGTTACGAATTCATTCTAATCGACTTATTTATTAGTGGTTGTTAGATCGTGCTGTCTAAAATTAAAAACATTAGTCAGATCAAACAGAGGGCTGTGCACAAGTGCTGACGTAAGGAAGAAGGTGAGACCATCCCCGCATGAGAACGTCTCAACTCGTCACGTGACGAGTTGAACAAACAGCAAAAATCAGACCTTTCGTAACACCAAAAATAGGGATATCCAAAAATACAGGGATGCCGTAACGAAATTTACAGGGCGATCGTAACGATTAATATATGGAGTTCGTAACAGTTTCACAGCTTTCATAATGAAATATATATTAGTCGTACCTCATTTACGTACAGAAATTACATGGATTTCGTAACTAATTTCACAGGGCTTTCGTAACAGCTAAAATAGAATTTCTCACGCTATATTTCAAAGGACGTAAGAGTGTCAAATCAGGGCTGTCGTAATGAATCTAATAGAGAAGACATAACCGTCCATTCAGGGTTGTCACTCCATAAAAGTATAGTGTGTTTGGATTAGATTACAGGGTTATCGTAACAAAAGATGAGGGTTGTCGTAGCCAATCGTCTTGTCCCTGTATATTATCGGTCATATTTCTTCAGTAAAGTATAGTAGGACAAC